GTTGCCTTGTGCTCTTTTTTCACAAAAAACTTTAGAAAACCGTAGTAAAAAGCGTTCAAATTTCTTAAGAACTGCGTACTGCCTGAAGCCCTGTATGCAGCTCTCAAGAAAATGCTCAAGAAAAATTGCCATTATTTCGCGTGTGTGTCCAAGGAAATTTGACATTTTTGATACTTCACAGCCAGTTGCCTCACTCTTTCCTCAAGAAATAATGGAACGGGCATATGTTTCTGTTGCAAACCTGGGTTGCCTTTTGCTCTTTTTTCACAAAATCTTTAGAAAACCGTAGTAGAAAGCGTAGTAAATTTCTTAAGAACTGCGTACTGCCTTAAGGAAATTTGACTCTTTATATGGAGTTTTTGCTTTTCTTGAGAACTGCATACAGGCCTATAAGGCTGGTATGCAGCTCTCAAGAAATCCGTCAAGAAAAATTTGCCATTATTTCGTGTGTGTGTCCAAGGAATTTTGACATTTTCGATACTTCACAGCCTGTTGCCTCACTCTTTCCTCAAGAAATAATGGAACGGGCATATATTTCTGTTGCAAACCTGGGTTGCCTTGTGCTCTTTTTTCACAAAAAACTTTAGAAAACCGTAGTAAATTCCTTAAGAACTGCGTACTGCCTTAAGGAAATTTGACTCAAGAAAATTTCTTAGCCATTTCTTGTACGTCATTTTATATGGAGTTTTTGCTTTTCTTGAGAGCTGCATACAGGCCTATAAGGCTGGTATGCAGCTCTCAAGAAATCCGTCAAGAAAAATTTGCCATTATTTCGTGTGTGTGTCCAAGGAATTTTGACATTTTCGATACTTCACAGCCTGTTGCCTCACTCTTTCCTCAAGAAATAATGGAACGGGCATATATTTCTGTTGCAAACCTGGGTTGCCTTGTGCTCTTTTTTCACAAAAAACTTTAGAAAACCGTAGTAAAAAGCGTAGCAAATTTCTTAAGAACTGCGTACTGCCTGAAGGAAATTTGACTTAAGAAAATTTCTTAGCCATTTGTTGTACGTCATTTTGTATGGAATTTTAGCTTTTCTTGAGAACTGCATACAGGCCTATACACATTAAGCCATCGTTCGGACTTCGCTCCGATAGGAGTAGATTTGTTCCGGTTTGTCGACAAAAATTTGAAACCTAGTCCTCTACTTCGCTCAACTGAAAATCTGCTCCGTTTTGTTGCATCAACAAATTTACTCTTCAAATAGAAAGGAGGTCGGGTTTTTAATAGCAAATTAAAAGTTATATTTTACCTTTTTATCGACACGATTGTTACATTGGTGAGCTACAGCACCTTTGCAAATACACTTGAATTCGTGAAAGTTCTGTAATTGCGTCGTTGCCCAACGATGTAACAATTGTCCCGGTAAAGAAAGAATGAAATAACTTTTTATTAATTTTAACCAAGGCATTTTAACTTTAATGATAATTGCTCGCTGGATTAAGGCGCCTTTACACCGGTCGATTTTCTAGTAGATTTTTGTCGTTCAACCAAAATCGACCCGTGTAAATGACATCTCAACCACTAGCAGGTCGATTTTCCAGTCCACAGATATCGACCCTTATAAGGCCGCTTTAGCTCCTTATTTGTACAAGGATACGAGGAGAAATGAATTGTTTTTTATAAAGATAAGAAATGCACATCTACTACGAATACTTGATATTTACTTCCATTTTTGTAGTCCGAACCCAGCAAAGAGCGCTCGGTGAAGGTCAGCTAGTGATCAAATTTGCCAACAGGGCTGCCAAACATACATAGCTATGAAGTGCCATATTGAGGATAAAAAAGTGCTAAAACGTGCCAAATAGAAAATTAAAAGTGCCAAAAAAGGTGTCATTCTCTTTAGTTCTTCCCATTAGCATTAAAATTAGACAAATTAAAACAAAAGCCCAATGTCAAAGTAAGATAAACCAGTTGTATACACTATAGAAATTAGAAAATTTTAGTTGAGAAAAAGAAGTACACGCAAAGGATTTCACAAAAATGTATTTAAATTTGGCTTTTTTTCAAAAGTGCCATTTTGGCAATTTTTGCAAAATTGAAAAATTCAGTGCCATTTCAAGTAAAATAGTGCCAAAAATGGCACGGTTTGAGCCAAGTTGGCAGCCCTGATCGCCAAGTTTTTTATTTAAAAAAGCACCAAAATACTGAAAATAGCGCAATTTTCCCCCAAAAAAAACACCAATTTTGTGTTGCTGTGTTTAAAGGTATTTTCGCATATAAAGCTGTATGTTCAAATATTTTAAGTAATCACACAATGAAACTTGTAAATATTTTCAACAATGCGCAGTTAATCAATTTAATAAATTTAATTTGCAAAATCTTTTTTTATNCGCCAACAGGGCTGCCAAACATACATGGCTATGAAGTGCCATATTGAGGATAAAAAAGCGCTAAAACGTGCCAAATAGAAAATTAAAAGTGCCAAAGAAGGTGTCATTCTCTTTAGTTCTTCCCATTAGCATTAAAATTAGACAAATTAAAACAAAAGCCCAATGTCAAAGTAAGATAAACCAGTTGTATACACTATAGAAATTAGAAAATTTTAGTTGAGAAAAAGAAGTACACGCAAAGGATTTCACAAAAATGTATTTAAATTTGGCTTTTTTTCAAAAGTGCCATTTTGGCACTTTGTGCAAAATTGAAAAATTCAGTGCCATTTCAAGTAAAATAGTGCCAAAAATGGCACGGTTTGAGCCAAGTTGGCAGCCCTGATCGCCAAGTTTTTTATTTAAAAAAGCACCAAATTACTGAAAATAGCGCAATTTCCGCCCAAAAAAAACACCAATTTTGTGTTGCTGTGTTTAATGGTATTTTCGCATATAAAGCTGTATGTTCAAATATTTTAAGTAATCACACAATGAAACTTGTAAATATTTCCAACTATGCGCAGTTAATCAATTTAATAAATTTAATTTGCAAAATGTTTTTTTATTCGTAAAACAATCTCCAAAACTTGGTTTTTCTAGAATCTTTATTTTCATGCAATTGCTTACTTTTGTACAAATGCGCACACCCAGCTAATTAGCAGAATATTCTATGGATTCCGTGATAGAGACTGTGTGAAAATATTGCGTTTGGATTATCTTGGAGCATATTATCCAGAGGAGAAGCTCGGCCAAACACTAACATATGTGTAAGTCAAATACAATGTCACCATAGAATCACGTTTTTATTATAAAATTGCCTTGAAAAGGGCACCAAAGAACAAAACAAGCGCTAAACTAAACAATTTTCGCCTTTTAATTCCCTAAACGCACTTAATTTCTTGCGAAAGGCACAAAGTTGGCAACAGTTATATCGATGTCAAATTTGCTCATATACAAGCATGGACAGAGAGTGAGCGCCTGCTTAAAGAGCGTAAGCATCACATGCAAATACATGCGAGAGCGTAACAAAGCGAACGCAAATTCATTCAAACGTAATTGGCACACTAACACAATCACGCTTTCAGCTCGCGTTTACTTGGGGTCAGCGTTGCCGTTTTGGTCCAATTGGACCAAAATTGGTAGGCTCATTATCCTTTGGTAGTTTGGTTGGTAGGATGAAGCTTTTGGTAGGCAAAAGTGAAATTGCACCAAATTGAGAAATACAATTTGTTTGCTTAAGATTGCATACTGCCAGTGCTATATACTATTTATAGTAATTTTAAAAATATCTATGAATGGTAACCCTGTATTCATAGCAAGCAAAGGAAATAATGACAAGAGAAAGAGTGAAAGAAAGATGTTAAATGTCAAAAACTTGGCATTTGCGCACATTTCTTCAATTGAATTCAACAAACAAGCGAAAAGTTTAGTGATGGACAAGTAAGTTAATTTTGCTTTAAATTTGTAACTTTTTAATCGTTGTTTATTTGCAGGTATATCTGTAAAGCCTCTAAAGCGTCCGAAGTAAGTGTAACGACGACTTGTTCAGGTAAAAAATTGTGACTAATTATGCATGTACATATGTGTCAATTAACACATACTGAAAATTCTCATAGCGAAAATTCCGTAGTGAATGGCTGCAATATTTTGACTGGCTTGAAGAGAAGGAAGGTTGTGCATTTTGTATTGTATGTTTTAAAACAATTTTAAATCACCGCACTCATCTGAATAACCACCAGCGCACCAATAATCACATTCAAGCATACAAGGCCGGAAAAAACCAAATCAGCATGTCTAAGTTTGTTAATTCAAACAAGGAAAAGGTAAATCAGCAGGTTTGGCACGCAGAGTACACGCTAGTGATGTTTTGTATTACACATAATCTGCCTTCTTGCTTATGGACTTCCTGCCCAGTTTATTAGCAGAATGTTGTCCAGATTCTGATATCGCTAAACTATTAAAATGTGGAAGAACAAAGTCGACTCAAATCGCTGAGCTGATAGGAAATCATGCAAGTGAGAAAACAATAGCTAATTTGCGAGCTAGAAGATTTTCGTTAATAGTTGATGAAATAACCGACGTATCAGTGAAGAAGTGTTTGGTGCTTGTTGCAAGGTACGTCGACAACGCCCGCGTAGTTCATGACCGCTTTCTTGCATTGATAGAGCTTGGGAAAGCAGATGCGATATCAATTTTTACTGTTATAAAAACTTCTTTAATTCTAAAAATGTTCCGTTAAAAAATCTGATCGGACTAGCTACAGATGGTGCGAGTGTAATGGCAGGTAACATCGGAGGACTGAAGGCATTGTTGAAAACGGAGACTGATGTTTTTCACATAACATGCACATGCCACTCACTACATTTGTGTTGCAGTTACGCTTGCAAAAAACTACCGAGCAGTATTGAAGTTTTATGTCGAAACATTTATTCTTTTTTTTCGCACAGCCCTAAGCGGATCTACGAATTTAGAGAATTTCAAGATTATTGTTCAGTGAAACCACATAAAATTCTCGGTATATGTCAAACAAGATGGCTTTCTTTAGAAGCTGTAATTTGTAGACTTATTGAACAATGGGAAAGTCTGAGGTTATATTTTATTTCAAATTTTCTCGAAGTCAACGGAATTCGATCCGCAGAGCTAGCAAACGCAATGAACTCAAAACTTAAAGCATACTTTTTATTTTTGTCCTATATACTCCCCATCATTAATAATTTGGATAAGGAATTTTAGTCCGATAGTTGTCGATTGCCATACTTATACTCTAATATTAAATCTAATTTCCTTCTGATTTTAAGTAATTTCCTTGACCAAAAAAAGTTTAACGATGTATGTATAAATTATAGAGACAAAAGTAATCATATAAACGTATTAAAAATTTTTATTGGAACAAGCTCTGAGGAATTTGTTCAAAGTAACTTAAGCGTTAAGAGATAAAAACCAACATTCTTGAGTTCTACATTGAACTTTTGGACCAAATCAAAGCGAGATTTGATTTTGGAAGGGAAGATTTGCAGCTTCTAAAAATTATAACACCAGGTAATGTTCTTTTGGAAGAAAATGTAGAAATATTACCTTTAATTTTAAAATTTAAAAATTTAGTGGACTGCGATCCCGATAAAGTGATAACTCAATGGAAGTTACTTAGGTCGAGTGATAATAATTTAAAAAAAGATATGGATATCACTTCATTTTGGAGTACTGTTAGTAACATTAAAAATGGTTTGAATGTGTGTTGTTTTATTGATTTAACAAATTTTGTGTTTAATTTAATGACACTTCCATACAGTTCTGCGGCTGCTGAACGAAAATTTTCTGAATTTGCGCTTGTAAAAACCAAACTCAGAAATAAACTAAACATCAGGACAATATATAGTATTATGCACTGTAAACAACTAGTACAAAAGGCTGATGCACATTACGTGTGGTCAGCAAAAAGAGATCTAAAAGATGTATGATTTTTCTACAAACATTTTGTATACAATTAGGGGATATAAAAACTTTTTTTTTGATACAATATAGGATATAAAAACTTTTTGTTTTTAAACGCATAAAATGCTTGAAATTGTCTTGTCGAAGAAAAAAAACGTTTGAATGAAATGAATTGATCTCAAAGATATACATATATACTCGGTACGTTTTTTTACAAACGTTTTGTGTATAATATTTTTAACACTTAGGTTGTTCACGCTTGGTTACCTGGTTACCTGGTTAAAAATTATTATTCTGTAGTGAATTTTATTGTTGTAAACTGAATAAAAAATATAACCACATAACCTGATAACCAAGCAAGTGTGAACAACCTAACTTTTATTTAAGCGCATAAAATGTCTGAATTTGTTGTTTTATACATCAAAATGTTTGATATGAATTGAATTAATATCAAAACTATATACAATGCTTATAACTGTTTTTTATACGNACCATGTTTATAAATGTTTTTATACGATACGTTAATTAATTTATTGAAACGCCCGAATTTATTTCATGTAAACTTCAAGTATTGCTTGAATGGATAACAAACTGAAGCACTTTAAACCATATTATTTGGTATTTTAATTTATACCTACTGTTAATCTGCAAAACCCGTAAATTTAATAAAATCTCGTTTTAATGATAAAAAAATTTTTTGGTAGTTTGCAAACTGATTTGGTAGGCTTTTTGGTACCTGAAAATATTCTCAAGTGGCAACGCTGCTTGGGGTAGTGATCACATCCACTCATATACACTCCTCGTCATTCGAATTGCACACTCTTTCAATTCTTAGTATTTACAGTTTTCCGTTTGTTTATTTAATATAATTTTTTTGTAAAAATATCGTCACTACATACGAATAAAGGCGCGCTGGTGTTTTGACGGTGAAAAAAAGCGTTTAAAAAAATTTTGCAAAAAAAGATGCTTATAAAAAACTTTGGCGAAGTATGTTAAGAGTGTTTGACGCTGAAATTTTTTTATGCGTCTTTTTTCGCCGTCAACTTTTGAGCTCGCGCCTTTATTCGTGTCTAGTGACGATATAGCATATTCTACGGGTAAATGCAATTTTAAAATTTTTTACAAACTATATTCAACAATTTATATTGAGTTCGAGGCCATTTTTTAAATGAAAATTTATTGTGGAAAAACAACAATAATTTTTACAAACTAAAACTTAAAAGAAAGTTTATTTTCCGTTTCTTGGGCAGCATTTTATATGATTTCTTCGTTTTTCTCGAGAGCTGAAAACAGTTCTTAAAAAAGGGCAACATAGGAGTGTGCCATCCTAATGACCTGCAGTGAATAAGTTAATAATATTTTTACAAAAATTTCTGATATGCAGTTTTGTAGCTCATTCAATTATAGTGTAATTAAGTGCAGTTTGAAGTGACTCTAAAACAGCCCCGATTTTTCAAATTCATTTATTTTTTATTGACAGTGCTGCGC